ACGTTTAACTAACAGCGATAAATAAAAAATACATTTTTTACTCGTTATGTTTCTTTCTTTTTTTTTTTTTTGTTAAAGAAAAATTACGAAAACGATGCGTTATCTTTCGCAACTCATTAAAAATTCTTTTTCTTCTCGATAACTATCACCGTTTGAAATTTGAAAGTGGAACGAGAAATAGTATGCAAAGGAACGTTAATAGTTCTCTTCCTTTAGCCAGTATCTATTTCCAAGATTTCCTATCCTAGATTTATAATCGGGTAGTTTGTATTTTTATATATTTAATTATTCGATAAATTGAGATTATTTTTGTTCGTTCGTTTTTTTGATTTTTCAGTTCGTACTTTCTGTTGAGTTTGTTAATTATCATCAATATTCATCAAAACGAGGCAGAATGGCGACCGTGCGTAGAATTAAAACGCGATTTACACGTACCGTGCAAATGCATGATATCAACGAATTATCCAAGATCCGTAGAAATAAATTGCGATCATGTTATTTTTACACGTGACGGTTTGGACAGTTTAAAGGGCCAACCGATAGTTTCGATCAGCCAAAGGCACTGCGGTTATCAAAGCTTACCAGAAGAACTCGTTGGATCTGGTTTAACCTTAAGAGAGTTAGATCTCTCCGATAATTCCATTTACAGATTAATGGATCGCCAATTGCAAGCACAAACTCAATTACGCGTATTGAGATTGGCCAATAACCTTCTCGGTGATAATTTAAATCCTATATTTTCGAGCAATGAATTTCACGGTATGGAAGAATTACGAAGACTTGATCTACGAAAAAATGGACTACGTAATATCGAGGAAGGAATTTTTAAAGGTTGCATCAATCTCGAAGAACTTTATTTGGATGAAAATAATATGACTACCGTGCCTACAGCTTCGTTGAAAGGACCAAAAGGCATCAAGATATTATCCCTTATTGGAAATAATATTGGTACGTTTAATATTTTATTTATTTGTTAGTTTTATAGATTCATTTTAGATTGATTTTTATATTTTTATATGTTAGTATACATGTATCTCTATCTATCTATTGGGTTCTATAAATATAATAAAACATTTCTTTGCTGCATTAATTATTTTCTATTCTGGAGAATATTCTAATATTCGACAATAACAATCCCGTAATATGAGAAAGGTTTTGCTTGAAGAGTTCGATATATCGATCCTCAGATTGCTGCTTAACGGTTCACTCGCCACGGAGGATACATTCGTACCAGATGCTCAGAATTTTCACGCCTATATATATATATATAACTTTCTCCACGTATTCAATATTACATGCTGCGTACATCATAAACCTTATTCATATAACTTTAATATTTTTATCAAGCTCCATAAATACAAAATTTGAAGAGAAAAAGAAAAACTATAAATGGAAAATAATCATTATTAATGAAATTAATTTACAGGTTCCCTTTCACGAGGAGCATTTTTGACATTAGGTGAATCTTTGTTACGTTTGGATATCAGTAATAATGGATTGTCACATATGGAGGATGGTTCTCTTTCTGGATTAGAACACTTGCTTTTCTTAAACATATCTCGTAACGATCTCACTCGATTTAATAGCGATGTATTTAAAGGTATGGTCAAGTTACTTTCTAACAAATTAAATATCTTCTATTATACATTTAGAATAAATGACGTATATATAATATTGTAACTTTTATATGAAATCGAAAAATCTTCGTAGAACAACAAAATTCTCATGAAACTGTACTACTTTTCTCTTCATTGTTTAAATGATAACGTAGACGATCGTATATTAAAATTAATTATTATACTATTTTTCTTTAACATATTTTCCTTTTTTTTCTTTTTTATCTCTAAAGAAAAAAATTCATGTATAATAATCCACGTGATTTTCTATTTCCGTCTAATAACATACTTTTTCGTGATTAAGATATAAGTAAGGAAAAAAAAATTATTATACTTACAATTAATTATATGTCGTTATATATTTTTGGTCGCAAAGAACGAAATTATAATGTTCAAAACTAGCTCTATCAAAATCATCTACATCATTAAAACAGGTGGGAATTTGAAGCGCGTCTTCTCGCGCTCGTTTATTATTCCTACGAAAGTACGATGTTTAGTTACAAGGAAGAAGAAGTAGTCGACCTCTAAAGAACAATGAACTTCATATTTTTTAAGTTCTCACGAGACTTATTGTCTCTCGCGAAATATCAGTCTTTTACTTCCTTCTATATACAATATATAAAAAAAAAAAAAAACAAGCAGGTTTTTACGACTTATATTAATGAATTTTTTAACAATAAGAATTTATAATCGAAAAGACAAAAGAAAATAATAACAAAAAAAGTCTTTATTATCTATTAGTAATCGATCATTTCAGGAGCATACAATTTATTGCAATTGGATCTTTCTGTAAACTTCTTACAAGAATTTCCTACTTATGCTTTGAGACATTTAACGGATTTGAAGTTTTTAAATATTTCGAATAACTTAATTACCGTGAGTTTCAATCATATTTTAAATTGAAATCATTTATTATGTATTTATTATGTGTGTTAATGATTAATTTGTGAAAATTTATTTAGGAAATTGAACGTGCCCATTTGTTAGGCCTAACCGAATTACAGGTGCTCGATTTAAGTCGAAATAATATTGGTCGACTTGGAATAAATACATTCTCCAGTCTTTCTTCCCTGACTAGACTCGATTTAAGCTTAAATGCTTTGCGTACGGTAAATAAATAAAAATATATGTTTTATATTTTGTGTTTATTATACAATAAAAAATCTAATTTTATATTTTTGATTTTTAAAAAATAAAATAACATATTTTGGGTATTATTTATTTTCAGATAGAGGAATCATCCTTCGAAGGATTAGTAAAATTAAAATGGTTGTCACTTCAGGATAATAATATTCTATTAGTACCAGCTACAGCACTAACACGACTACCAGCATTGGCTCATCTTCACGTCGAATTCAATCGTGTAGCGGCACTATCCGCGGAATTAATTCGATCTACGTCATCTAGTCTCGTTACGTTAGGATTAACGCGTAACTTGGTGCGAGAAATCCCAGGTCGATTGTTCTACAATTTCGAAAATCTCATTAGCATAGAACTTTCTGGCAACATGCTGTCTACTATTTCACAAAATACGTTCGCCGGTTTGGAAGATACATTATTGAATTTGGATGTTTCATACAATCGTTTGACCAATATAAACGAATTACCATTAAGAAATTTATTATCTTTAAATTTGGCTGGTAATCAATTGAAAAGAATTTCTCCAGAAACTTTTAAACAATTGCCAAGATTACAATATCTTAATCTCAGTAGTAACGCACTTTATGGAGGATTTCCACCGATATTTCCATCATCCTTGTATATACTCGATATATCATATACAGGATTGAAAATTTTACCGACAGTCTTGATGTTGAATTTGGAATCATTAGAGAAAGTTTATTTATCTGGAAATCATTTGCAAGAGATAGACGAAGGTACTTTCCAACATCATTATAATTTATCTGTGATAGATTTATCCAATAATTTTATCGAACACATCGACAATGGAGCTTTCGTAGGCTTGATCAATCTTTACGAGCTTAATTTACGTGGCAACAGATTGACGTCTTTCATCGGTGAATATTTCAACACTGGAACTGGATTACAAATATTGGATTTATCGAATAATCGTTTGACCCAATTATCACCAACAGCTTTTGTGATTCATCCTAGGTTGAGAAATCTCGATTTGTCCAACAACGACTTTGTTCATTTCCCTAGCGATTTTATTAAATCTTTGCAATTTTTGGAACATTTAGATTTGTCGAGAAACGAATTAAAGAACGTCGGTGAATTTTCATTCTCGCAAATCGGTCGATTGCATACACTGAATCTTTCAGGAAACAAGATAGAATCTGTCGAAGAACTGGCTTTCCATAATTCAACGCAACTTCAAATATTGGATCTGTCTAACAACGTCTTAGAAACGTTAAGCGAACGTACGATGGAGGGCTTGTTACGTCTTCAACATCTTGATCTTCAAAACAACAAATTAGCTTCCTTACCCGAGACCATATTCGATCAATCGAGAATTCGTTCGGTGGAAAGCATCGATCTATCAGGAAATTACTTCAATGAAATACCAATAAGAACTTTACAGAGACAATCAGCATCGTTATTCAGTTTAAAGATTGCAAGAAATAAAATGACTGAGGTATTTACACAAGATATAGTTAACAATGTCAAAGAACTTGATCTTTCGGAAAATCCACTAAGCGAAAATGCTGTACGTGGTATATTAGGAGAAGCTAAGATATTGAGATCTTTGAATTTAGCCCAAACTGGTATCAAAATTTTGACCAGACTTGAGACACCATTTTTAAAACATTTAAATCTTTCTGACAACGAAATAATAGATATAAAACCAGCTGTTCTTGAACGTACTACCATGTTGGAAAGTCTTGACCTATCTAGAAACAAATTGACGGATTTCTCTAATTTGGTTAATACATTTAAAATACTTCCAACCCTTCAAAGTTTGGAAATTTCTAACAACGACGTTAAAGCTATCAACGAGAGCAGTTTTGATGGATTATCCACTTTGCGTTCACTCAAGATCGCTGATCTTCCTAATTGTACGAGAATAGAAAAGAACGCATTCAAACACTTGGGAAAATTACGTTCGTTGTACGCGTATAATTATCCGAAATTGGGTTATTTCGACGTACAAGGAATATTGAAAGGGATGCCAAATCTAGAAACCTTAGATATTGAAATCAAAGATTCTTCAGTGGGAAACGAACAACTTTCTATAAGAACGCATCCTCGTTTAAGACTATTAACTTTACGAGGTGAAAGATTACGTACTGTACTTTCGAGTTCGTTGGTAGGTGTACGTGTACCTTCATTATCTCTCGGCTTGAAGAATACATCCGTTGACACAATACCAGCTGCTCTCTTCTTCCCAGTACCACGTTCTACGGTAGTATCATTGGATATAACAGGAAATAAATTCACTGCTTTGCCCGTTCAACTGTTGGCTGCCCTCGACGAAAGAAGCGGTTCCGTAAAACTCACCGGTTTGGATAGCAACCCTATTAATTGTAATTGTGAAACAAAACATTTTTGGAGATGGTTAAAAGGATTAGCTGATAGAGCACCTAATGTTATTTGTATGACTCCTGATTATGTATCAGGAATGTTATTAAACAATCTTACCGAGGAATATCTTACCTGTGATCGGACAACCCTTAGCAGGTATCAAACAACAGAAATGACACCTTCCTCGAGATCAACCACGGCTGAACCAGAGATTATCTGGACTGTACAACCTACGACTCAGAATAATAGAAATAAGAATTACAACGGTGATCATACCAGCAGTGTTTCCGTAGGAAATGTGTCAAGTACAGACGACACTTTAATAATTGGCATAGTAGGTGGTGTCGTCGCTTTCATAGCCATCATCGTCATAGTTATCTGTATTTGTCGGCTCAAATGGAGCACTCAAATGAACGAAGCTAGAATGACAGCAGTAGCATCTAGCATTCACGAAGCTTCAATGATAAGMCCCGCCAGTGCTTACTCTGGTAAGATCAATCACGATGTTTACGTGGGATCTTATAACGGATCAACGTTAGGTCGTGGTAACGGTGTACATGGTTCTTCGGTACCTACCACACCGGTACAAATGATGCCTTATGTTCAACCAGTACATGTTATGCATCCATTCGCACCACCCCCGCAAGTATCGCAACCGTTATACGGTTATTACGATAATCCACCGGTACCGATGTATGTCACGTGTCCATCTGAAAATAAGTTTGATAGATAATAAAACGTGCTTATTAATCGTCTTAAAAGTGAGACCGTATACATTTTTCTCTAATTTAATTGATTGTACTCTTTGTTATTCGATTATCATTGATTCGTATTTTTTTGTTAATAATGTTGTTAATAATCGAGATATTATAAATGGTGCTATATGAACACAGTGGTTAATAATAGCAAGAATTTCAAGAGATCGGATGATCAATTATCAAAGACAGGTTCAAGATTGTAGAATTTTTTTTTTTATAGATAATTAAGTTTTGATTTCATATAAAACACAATCGAAATATCTATTTTAATTATGCTTGAGAGCATTTTATAATTAAATAAAAATGTTCATTATAATATTATATCTTTAGGAGTGCGCTAGAGGACAGAATGTGAGTTCTTAAAATGAATATATTTCTTTTTCTTGTTTTAATCTGTATGTGTATATATCACGTATTTTAATATAATTATACAAATCGTAATCTTAAGTAAATATTTTAAAATAATCAAATGTCGAATGTCGATGATATCATTTATTTCA